GCTGCGGGGACACGGAACGCCCGCAGCGGGCCGCCTGCAGCTCTGAGGCCGGAGCAGTGAGTCTCTGCTCCGGGCTCTGGATCCCGCAGGAGTCGGAGGTCTCGTCTCCTTTACTCCTCCCCGCGGAACCTTCATCCTCCACCTCCCTCTTCACTCCCTGGGGATTTTCCTGAGGCGATCAGAGAAATATTGTTAGTGAATAAAGGACAGTGTGGTCGGTCGCGCAGGCTAATAAAAAAGATGAACCCTTTAGGGGACATTCGTCCAAACCTCTCACCTGTTTTAGTCTCCGCCACTTCGCTCTTCGATTCTGGAACCAGGTTTTAACCTGAAGGACAAAATGAGAACAAATAAATAATCTGTTTGTTCTTAGGATGATTCAATTAAGCATTATAACAAATGTCAAATAGAGGCTAAGGGCTAAAATCCACCTAACATCGAGATGCCTTTTATGCGCCATTTTTTCATTTGTTAAAAAATATTTGTAGGGCTTCACCAGGTGGTCAGAACATGTCCATGGGTTTCATCTGTAGACACCGTATTTTACAAGATTTAAAAAAATTATAATTTAACAATAGCCTACTTTTCATTTGTTGATATTACACATTAATATTATAAATTAATCTTAATTCATATGAATATATTCAAACTGAACTGACCAAAATGTCCTTCAAACATTTTAAATGCACTCCCGTAAAGGCCTACCGCACATTTAAAAGCTGGGGTCATTTATTGAATGTCCAATTAGGCCTATATTATTTTGTAGTGCCTAATTTAAAAAAAATCATAAACACAACCTCAGTAACAAGCTAACGGAATATATTTATATTGGCCGATCGTCTTTATTCCACTGTCCCCTCACCTGTCTCTCGCTGAGCTGCAGCATCTTGGCCAGCCTCTTCCTCTCGGGGGGGGACAGGTACTTCTGCGTCTCGAACTTCTTCTCCAGCTCGATGGTCTGCTCGTTGGAGAACCGGACCTGCCCCCCCTTCCTCTTATGGAGGGGCCGCTGCATGAAGGGGGTCCACATCAGGGGCTTGCCTGGGGCGGGGAGAAGAGACTCGGTTACCCTCACCATCCGAGCGTACCGGGGGTTCTGACGGTCACTGCGATACAGCACCGTAACGGAACAAGCAGACTAATACTGATATATAGGCTACATTATAAGTAAGAAAAACGATTAGGCTACGTTTTAATTGTTCAATAATTGCTATGTCACTTGGTTAAAATAATAATAAAAACGATCAAATATGCCTGAAATGAAAGAAATAAGGGATTGGAGACTTGACGTTAATATTATTATTATTATTATTAGTGTTATTATGCGCTTATATTGGTTAATGTGTTAAATTAGCCCATTCACTTTTCAAATATAACTGATGCCAACTGAAAGAGAAAAACGGCAGATTGCACACTTGTAATAATATAGAGTGTTAATTGAGTTTTCGTTAATTGGTCAGTTACATTGTATTCTAAGTTATTCTGTAGGCCTATACATATATTTTTAACATTTACAGTTTATTTAATGTATTCTATAGGCCTATTAGTAGGCTACAGGAAAATATATTAAAGTGCATCAATCTGAAATATTTTAGGGTCTGCCCCTTCTTTAATCCGATATATATTTATGTAGGCCTATCTTTTTTCATATTTACATTTTCTCTTCCAATTTTATTTTAAATGTAGCCTATGTTAAAGTCTTGTTCAATTCCTTAACTGCTGTTACGAAGCATTTCCGATCTGGGATGGATAAAGCGGATCAAAATAATTCCCCTCACGATGTCTGTCACCAGAGGCCATGGGGCCTGGGGCCTACTACGAATCAGAATTTTCGTTTAGCAAGCTAACTTCAGGGATTTTGCGGTCCTACGAAGCTGGTTCACTTTTTAGCGGGCTAGATAATTTATGCTGAGCGGCTAGCCTGGGGCCTACTACGAATCAGGATTTTCGTTTAGCAAGCTAACTTCAGGGATTTTCCGGTCCTACGAAGCATGGTTCACTTTGTAGCGGGCTAGATAACTTATTCTGAACGGCTAGCCTGCCCCGGAGCAGGATAGGTTCCAGGATAAGAGATCAACTCAGTGAAAGCTGACCAATCAAATACAGTTTAAACTGCCGTTGCAGGAAAGACGGCAGGCCAAAAACACCGACTGTGTGAACCTGAAAATGAATAGAATATCACCTCCCATCTTCAGAGCAATCTGACTATTATAACATTAGCGTTAAGAAAGCTTAATTAAATATCTGCCACAACATAAGTAACCGGATCAAACTAACATTACGTGCAGTCCGCGGCAGTGGCGGTTCTAGACCAATTTGACTTGGGGGACCAGGCTGGGGCCAGTTATTTTCTGAGGGGGGCACAATAAATGCAGGACGAAAAAGACAAAGATAGTATGAAGTAATTACGCATAAGAAAACAATGCATTATAGTTATTGGTATTTGTTTCATTACACATATTTATTTCAGATACTTAAAGTTACAGTTTTTACGCTCTAATGCACGGGTCCTTTTTTAGGATGAGAGCTACTTTCAAAAAATAAAACAAGTCGTGAGCTACTTTTACTCCTTTTTTTGGTTTTTCGCTGTGTATATATTTAGCACATTTTAACATTATCATATGCTTACCTTTAACCTTTGCGTGCTGTTTGGGTCTGTAGGACCCGTTTTCAATGTTTACTAAAAAAAAATGTATGCAATTTAATTATTTGAACCTGCTTTATTTGGGGGTAGACCTCACATCCTCTAAGGGGGTCCGGGGGCATGCACCCCCGGGAAGATTTTATTTTAAATGTTGAAGTTAAAAGCGTCAATCTGGTGCACTTTGAGCACAAAAGGCATTTATGGATACAGCTGCATGCTTTTCAATAATCCAAAGATAGATGTAGAGTTGTGGTAAGTAGATAGAGTTCGCTATGATTGAGGTTTTGTTTATGCATAGGGTAGATTCTTTTAATTGAATTACCTTTTTTTTTTGTGTATTTTTGACATTTTGGATTTGCTTGACAAGCTACTTATTGAGGGCTTGCGAATACCGGTAGCTCGCGATTGACGTGTTGGAGACCCCTGCAGT